TGTTTATCACCCCAAAACTCCGCCCTCGATATTGCGGGCCATTTCGCATCAGCCACATGATCACGCCCGTTACCGCCCACCCCCTCCTCCCCGCCGACTGGTACGTCAGCCCGTCATTCCACGTCAACCTCCTCCACCTTTACGTACCATCCACAAGCCAATTGCCTCGCCACCGACCAGCCAGTATGACACGACCACCCACTGAGCCAGTAATCACACCCGAGAAGATTATGAGCCACCGAGTTTGTGACCCACGTGGAGCTCGCAGGATCGAGTTCCTGATTCGATGGAAAGAACGCACCCCAAATGAAGACAACTGGGTTCCCCTGGACAAGATTGAAAACCACCCTGTCCTCACCGACTATCTGCACAGCCGCAATTTCCGGGATATACACGCACTCTTGTAAGGAGGGCCTCCTTAGGGGAGGGGGTAGTGTAAGGAAATTTCTATTTCCTTACGCCGCATCCCTGCCTAGCGCGTACGTCACTGTAGCACCATAGTCAGCACCGTTACCACTCGCGACCCTCGCTTCGACAATCTTCCCGCCACCTCGCACGTCGCAACACAACCTCCCGGCTCGGCTGGTAACCCGCGTTCTGGGCCTCCGCCTTGACACTTTCCCGACCTCAGTCACAGGCCCGTCGCGCGCCAGCCACAGTTCGTTACCGTTACCACTATGGCCTTCGCTATTTAGTTCTCACTCATTCCTTCGCTCATTGTACTGTTTTGCTTCGATAGTGCATTTCTTGCTCGCTCGCTCAATTGCACTCGTAACATCTACTAAGAACACTATGCTCGTGTTTTCGTTTGCAAGGGGAAAAGAGCGAATTCAAGTACGTACATCAGATCCATCCAACAAAATAACAAGGGACATTCAGCAGCTAGGTAGGAAACATAAATATAAAGCTTACATATTTCAAACATGACATTTGCAGACACAAGATGCCCCTATCATATACACCACCAGCAGATGGATTCCCTCTAAGCTCTTCCAAACATGGAAAAAGCACAGTTGTCCTGCCAACCAATCCAAACACTGATGGCTACATCCAGGGGCATTAATTATTTACACCTCAAAAGCATAAAAAAACACAAACCATATGGCTCACATCCACCCAGCTCACAGATGAGCAGACACACATTTTGCTGCATCTTTGCCTCTCACTCCTTGGTTGATGGAAGACGAATGGGGCAGGATGATGGATGAAGGTTGACTGGTGGGGGGCCTGTGAGGAGAACTTTGGACCCATGGACAGCAGCCACGTTCTGACTGTTTCACAGCGTGCGGATGATCTGAGCGGCGTCGAAGCAGTGAATAGTCGCAAGCGCGAGCGTCGTAGCGCGGGGTGGGCGCTCGTGCGCGGAGCGAATGACCTCAATATCGCGCTCCAGCTCCGCAAGGACCTCCTCCGCGCGCTCCTTCTTTGCGCACCACGGTCCCCCGCGGCCCGACGCAACTCCGTGCTCCGGGTGGCGCAGCAGCGCACGGATTCCCACACGCACGCGCTTCAGCACGGTCGTGCCGGCAGCGGCGAGGGATTCGCCAGAGACAAGGGCGTCCTGGCTGTGGTCAACGCGGTCAACGGGGTCAATGTGAGCGAATCCCGAAGTGGCGGTCTGGACGTGCTGCAGCATGCGAGCGTAGGATTGGAGGAACTGCGCCATGGCTGCGTGCGACGGGAAGACCGGAGTTGGCGGGAGTGACGTGAATGGGTAAAAATCAGGCGCTACGGTGCAGGGATCTTCTTTGGTGCAGGGATATTTGCATCGCCGGCATCGTGAGGCATTGTCGTCGGTGGTAGGACTAGCAACGCTGGGAGGCGCCTTCGAAGCCGTCGAGGCACCTGCGGCCGACGGAAAAAACGGAAAGAGAGAGAAAAAAACGGAAAAAAAAAGAGAGAGAAACATCCGTGAGATGAACGACGTAAAAAGGAGGAGGAATGCTTTAGTTAGAAACAGAAAAAACACGCTCTTCCGCGGCCGCAGGAGAAAGATGAGTGAGATTCAGGGCGAAGTGAATCAAAGATTGGAGAAATGGCGAAACTCTAAAAAAAAAATGTATTGGCGCGGCTTGAATCTGGAACCCACCTGGAGAATTCAGGGATATCGGGACCGCGGTGACGGTCGCAATGACATGAGGAGCTTCAGCGCGGACGGGCGCGAGGCGAACGCCCGTCGATGGAGATCGGCGCGCTGGGATCTTGCCAAGATCAGCCGTGAAACTCGGAGACGCGACGGCGGCGCCAGTAAGAAACGCGTGAGCCATGGCAGGAGTAGGACGATATCCGGATGAAGGAAAACTGTGTCTTCTGAATGCGAACTCGAACTGTGACAGCTGAAGGCGGCAACAGGCTTGTATGCTCCTCGATCGACAACGGAATAGAGTGTGAAATGGCAGTTGAACTGATTTCTGGCAAGTGAGGAGTGATTGGAACAGAAGCAATTTATGCTTCAGAATTTCTGATGGTTGGGACTGACATTACAGTACGGATTTGAGGCGCTTTTGTAAAATGAAATGGTTTGAGAGAGTTACAGAGCGATCTAAAAAGGTTCAGTAGAGTTAATGAGAGAAACATTTCACGTCACACAATCCCAAGCCGCATGCACACATTAAGCGCGCTTCGGCTCTCATCTCTGTGGCGCATCTCCCCATTTTGCCCCTCACTCACTCCTCGCCTCTCCAATCAACCTACCGAGCGGAGAGGTTGGTGGTGGCAGAACGCGGAAAAAGCGAGAAGCGGAGACGGACTTTCGCTGTTGTCGCGACGGAGCAGCAGACAGGCTGGCGACGACGACGACCAGCCGCGACGACTGGCCCATCTTTTTGGAGGCAAGAACGTCCTTAGAAACTTCCACTGAGAGACCCTCAATAATTTACAGGCTTCTCATTGGTTAGAAAAACCTCCTCCGTTCAAGCTCACGTGGAAACCCAACTTTTGATTTGCATTGCTGGCGAGTTACCTCTGAAGCCGTATTGTTCATTGGGTTTCTTACCCAGAGACTTATGGAAACCTCGATGGACTGAAATTCTGCGAAGTTTGTCACGCACCCATCTCTTGTCTGTGAACGTACTCACAGAATGAGGCATCTGGTGCTGCTGGCACTACAAAGTACGGAATGAAGTGCGGCCAGTCTCTCAGATCCAATATTGTAGGTGTTTCGAGCGGTACTGGAAAAGCTGTCTCAAAGAATCTACACACTAGCCAGCAGTCGCTGGCACATCACCATGACTCTACCTAGATTTTCCCATCCGGTTTGGGTAAACCCTGACAAAGAAGGAGCGAGACCTCTGGCGCGCATAGGCCCATCCAGTACGGAGTTCCATGTCATGAGACGGCGCTCGGAAACAACTGCTCGACAGCTGGCTGACAAAGCAGTCTCCTTTGTGGTCAATGTGAGCTGGATCTTGGCACGAAATCACACTGGTCGGCGGTGTGATCGTGTGCAGAGGGTTGGTGGTTCATCGACCGGCTTTCCCGTGTAAAGAGCATCGAAAGTCGTGGCGTATGAGACGCGTGACGTGTACTGCCGCAAGATCTGTGATCCTCCACCATGTGCTCTGCGCTGCTGGAAAGCTACAAAGTCAACCAATAAAAATGGCCACAGAGAGCTCATCTCATCAACGACCTCACTGAGGCACATCGCACGATGTACACAGTTCGACCCGCGCCAGCTTTCAAAAACAGAAGGTGGAAAGATGACGTGCTCATGTGGAACTGTATGAACACGTGGAATAATCGTAGGTAGTTACAGCTACATTGGTGAATCTTAGCCGTTCAGAATTGTACACGTACAGCGATGGTCAACGCGGTTTCTCACGAAGTTGCTCATTTTCGATGCCTTGCTGGAACCGTACAACATCACAGCCAGCTGGCGGTGGCAAGTTTGCGGGAGTCGTGTGCTTCGCATCGCCCGCGACCCCTCAACCCCAACCAACTCAGCTTGTGCGCAAAGGTTGGCTTCGGCTGCACTGCGACTCGCTCTCATCCGCGGAGTGTGGTTGGTTTATGGCGTGCGCAAATCTTTCGGACGGTGTGCCGCGGCTCTACCGGGGAGAAACAACAAGCAAGTCTTTGCAGTTGCGACAATCACCCCGGCAGTGAGTTGACCTGATGCCACGCCTTCCAAAATCCAAATCCAGTTCCATTACGTGTCTGGTAACAACATGCGAAGATTCAGCGCCTCCGTAGTATGACTTGCGACTTTCGCGCTCGTCGCTAAATCGCTGATCCAGGGAAAATAGGTGGGATTTGTGAAGGCGAAACAGTTCATTTTATCATACATTTAATAGCGAACTACTTTTGCTGACAGGTAACCAGGTCAAAGATCGTTAACGAGATCGAGAATTTCGGTTGCTCCTCACACTGATGCACACCTGAAAACTCTTGCTCATATCAATCGAACGCTAGATTACCTCTGCATACACAGACGTCGTAGCTCTACTCTTTCTACTTATTACTATCCTCCAGCGTCACCATCTCTTTACAGGTTTTTATTCAAGGTACTCGAAGGAGTCCTTTCATCAGAGTTATGGCGACTCTCAGCTGTCCCGTTACCGTGACGAGGATCGTAGCGTCGCCAGGAGCACCAAAACCGAAGCAGCTTCATACGCGGCGTGTCACTGTTTGTCGAATCGCTCCCCCAAATAATTCCCTCCCCGAACCCGTGAACATTTTCAACCCTGCCACATGTAAGCGCTAAGAAAATACACATATCCGTAGCAGCATAATGTACCCTTTTTTGTTGCTTTGTTTCCTTTTTTTGGGAGGACTATTCAGAAACAAACCGTCCATTACATTTATTTTACGCCAAATCTGCTGCCACTTCATTTGTATTTAAGTAGCGTAGTAAGCCTTCCACTTGCTCCGAAGATAGTAAAGGCCCACATAATGCTGCGCACCACCAGATTACGTGCAACGTTCTGAACGTCTGGGGTCAAACGTATTTTCAGTTACGTCTTAAAATCGTAAAGTTAACAGATTATTTCCACCTCCGTCCCATGCATATCCTCTCTCCAGGGTTCGGGAACCCGTCCAAGGCGGCGGCGCCGCAACCAGAGCCTGCAGTAGAGCCTGAGCTCGAGCCTCTTGCGACGCTCCCGCCGACTCCTGTCTTCCCATCCCACCAAGCGATGACTCTGTTCTTGCAGTCGTATGCACGCATGCTGCAGCACGTGAAGACGGGAACGGTGGTCGGGAAGAGAAAAGTAGGCGTTGACCACAGCCACGACGCGCTGGTTTCCGGCGACTCGCTCGCCGCGGCTGGCGACACTGTGCTGGAGCGAGTGCATCTTGGGCTCGGCGCGCTGCTGCACCACCCCCAGCATGTGAGCTCCCATTATATGCTAGTTTTTTCTGCGGAGAAGTGAACTGCTGAAAAGAGGCCACTGTTTTGCGAAATTATTGCTATCCCCTTACCTTTTTTTTTTTCCTTCCATCTTTGGTGCAACAGGGCGTACAGGGAGGGACAGTGTGGGGCCGCAAGGAGGAGGCAGTGGAGCGGTGTCTGGAAGAGCTAGAGAAGGACGTGGAGCACATGAGGGATGCTCATGAGAAACCACCGCCTGCCACCACTCTGAACCTAGCAACTGCGCACTGCTTGGATGCCGCAAAGATGATCAGCAAGCTCTGATCAGCAATCTCTGAGCTGAAGATTGGTATGGGTTGTCTTTTTGCTTGTTAGTGTTGGAAAATCATCGTTCATCTGTTTATAAGTGTGTAATGAGTCTGTTAAGTGCATTTTAGAGAGTAAATGTTTATAGGAACGGATTCACAACTTCACGATATGGAAGATCGTATATGGGTAGAGATCTGCAGTGCACCAAAATGATATGTCCTATACGCTGACCAATCCTGCTTTCTGTCCATAGGCATCATCATTTGGTGTTTGGATACCAAAACTCAGAAACATGGAAACAAAGAGTTGTAATATCAATAAGGTGTTTATTCTCTCCAATTAGTTTGACGCCTTTCCCGCCGAGCACACCACATTCAGCATGGTGAAGAGGAACACGAATTTCGTGCAGAAAGTACCACTTCTGCCACGCTACTCCGTAAAGCTGATTTCATTGGCGGAATAAGTTTCCCTCCAACAAATTTGTATGCCGAGCCTCATTTTGTAAGCTTCGGGTTGCCGATGAAGCCCGACACATCCAGCCATCGAGTCGCGCTATTCCAGCAACGCCCTCATCAATTTGGAATTTCGTCACTGACCTGCGTTAGCCGGACCGCACCAAGCCTCTCAGCGTGGTTCAGTATTCAGATTCTGACTATTCGTTGTGGTCAGCGGGGAGACGCGCACGTGAGAAATGTACATTTCTGTGCAGGGGCAAATGACTCTGCACAATGGCGAGGGGAGGGGAGGGGAGGGGAAGGGAGCACATGCTGTTCCTCCGCCGCTCCCGCCCTGGTTCTCCCCGTCACTTCCCAAGCCTATTGATGCTTGTGTACCGAACCGCTTTGACTTGAACCTTTCACGCTTCGATACTCCAGCTTCGGCTCCTCGGCCCCGAGCCTCCAAATGATCATGTTTCTGGCACCATGACAACAATGACATTCCCCAATGACCATGATGAACGACTTCAGGCATCTGTGACATTCCCAAGGTGCCACAGACTGGTAGCTTGCTCTTGGCTTGCATTGAGCATCCGGCCTGCTATCAGGCTGCAGACCCATCTCCTGGCAGCTGTATCAGGCTGTTTGTGACCAGCAGGCGAAGAAGCCATCCTGGTGCTTCATGAATGCTGATGATCTGTGGTGAATGGTTCTTCTTCATACTGCTCCGTTTGAGCTCACAGAGTAACCGGAGGATTGACGGACGGAGCGCTTTCAGTCCCTTTTCTTCCTGAGATTTAAGTAGCCTCGATTTTACCGCTGGACGTGTGTCTTGGTCTCGTCTGCAATTTATAGTTGATTCCAGATAACGACGCCTGCAGCGCCCCCAGCCTTGTATAACAGAACAGAGAGATTGATCGTATTTATAGCGAGGCGTTTATTTCGTCAACAGCTGAACGGGACCCAGATATTATTGTAGCAATAAATAAGTACTACATTAGGTTATGACGAACGTAGATGGCGAAAAGGGTTCTCATTCACTGGTGAGAGCTCGAAGCTCGAATACCTCTCAGGATTCTCAGAGAAGACGAGGAAGAGCCGGTGGGAAAGGAGAGAAAGGATGCGGGCGAGACAGCAGAGACGGGTCTCTGCTTGATGATGCCACTCAAGGAGAATCTGGTGAGAAGATGCCGATAGACAACACCGACAGACATGTTGCGAGATGTTCGAATGGCCAGGATAGGATACCGTGGGACGATACGCGTGTCAGGAGAGTTTGGAGCGGAAATTAAGAGAATATATTACGTCATTGTTTAGCGATGTACCACCACATACCGTCATAGGAGAGCGAGGTTGCCGTCCTATCGTTAGTGTTTCTATTGTATAGCCTTCCCGCTCAGTTTTTTTCTGCTCTAAGAGCATGTAGCCTGGTGCTTCTTCCCATTGACCTTCAAGTCGTTCATCTCATTGACCTTCATAGACGTTTAAGTTTCTCGGTACTTCCGAGCTCTTGCCAGCATGTAACAATCAAAATTATTTCCCGTGTTTTTGCGCGTAGAACGAGTGCGAGTGACGATTCGAGTACGGCCTCCTACTGCAGAGGAAGCAGCCAGCAATGGGGAGTTCGCGATGGACATTTCCCCCGACGACAGCACCGTTGTCCTTCACAGGTAGCTTCCGTCAGGTACATGCGTTTGTTAGGCGCCTCAAAGACTAACCATCAACTTATCCCGATGCGCATATTTCCCGACGACAGCACCGTTGTCCTTCATAGTTAACGTCCGTCCAATCCATGTGCTGTGTTTCTTAGTCGTCTTGAAACTAAGCATTGGAGAGCTTGGAATAATTTCGTCTCCCGACGACAGCACTGTTGGCCTTAACAGGCAGCATCCGTCAAATCCCTCTTCTGTGATTTGTTCCCGCCTCGACCATCTGTCGTTAGAATCCTTGGCTCTGCGAACGAGATCAGGACAGTAGAACCTCTGCGTCTATACCTCGCTTGCCGTATTGTGAACCTTCTTATTTTTAAGTTTATTCATCTATTCATCGGGATCCACTCTTGTCACCCGCGTTGTGTAATGGTTGGTGTGCAACAGGAGCAACGGTCAGCTGGAGCAGATGGAGTTTGAATTCGACTCCGTTCTCCCTCCAACGGCCACTCAAGCGGACGTGTATCAAGTCGCCGCGAAGCCCGTCGTCGCGGTTCGTACAACGGTCAAATGTTCTGGATATCTTGTTTGCTTCTTTCGTTGTCTCCATGCGCTCTCCCTCTCATCGCTCTCGTCACTGTCTTCTTAACCATCACTTCCGCTCTCCCCTCCAACGGCTACAACGGCACGGTCATGGCGTACGGTCAGAGCGGTTATTGAGTCAACTAAGAAGTTATCCCTTCTGTGTCGTCGTTACAGGATGTGTTGAACGGTTACAACGGCACGGTTATGGCGTACGGTCAGACCGGTGCGGGAAAGACGTACACGCTCTCGAGCACCAAGCCTCCGCACCTAGGGATCATCCCGCGAGCAGCTGCTGAAGTCTTCGTGATGGCGCGAGCGGACCCGACCCACACATACAGGGTGTCGATGTCGTACATTCAAATCTACATGGAAATGGTATGACCGTCGATCACTAGTTGTGAGTCTAATCAGAGGTGTTTGTGATAGCGCGAGCGGACCCTAGCCATACGTACCGGGTGTCGATGTCGTACATTCAGATCTACATGGAAATGGTAATGACCGTCGATCATTATCGTCCTGTGATTTGTGAGTCTTCTCAGAGTTTTTTGCGAATCTTTCGCCTTTTTTTTACCTACTCACGTTCGACTGCTCCTCCTTGTACTTACCATATCCTTCCCCTTCCCCACCCTCCTCCCCCACCTCCCCACCCCTCCTACCCCTTCCCCCCTTCCCCCTTCCCGTTTCAACCCGTTGGGCTCGACTCTGCAGATTCAAGATCTGCTGCGTCCGTCGAGCTCCAACATGCAAATACGGGAGAGCGAGAACGGGGTGTACATCTCGGGGGTGGAGGAGGTGGAGGTGACGTGCGTGGAGGATTGCCTCAAGCTGCTGGCTGTGGGCGAGAGAAACCGCACCGTCGCCTTCACAAAGATGGTGGGTGACGAGACCCGACCCGACTCGTTATAAGGACAGGAGAGTCTGTTCTCCTGTGCAGTCTGTGTCGTGACAATGAAACTTACTTATTGCTCGTTTGCGACGGTCAGGGTTACTCCACGAGATACGCTCGCTCGAGTTTTCGTGCTGACTCTCTACGTTACATAGCCCCGCAAACGACATTGAAAGATGGCCAGGTTCGGCCCTTCAACTAGCGCCTCATTTCTAGCGCCTGAATGTTACTTTTTGCTTTGCGTCCGTTTGTATCGTCTCCCTCATCTGTTTCCCGTGTTCCTTGCTTCGCCCCTTTCCCTCTTCTTTGCCCTTCCGCTGGTCAGAACGCGCACTCGTCGCGCAGCCACGCCATCGCGATCATAACGGTGGAGAAGAAGCGGCGGAAGGACGCGGAGAGCAGCGACTCTGAGGCGCATTCCGGGCCTGCAACTGCTACAGCGGGGCACGGGAGCGACGAGCACCGCAAGCCAGAGAAGAAGGACAAGTGAGTGCGCACTTTGTGTGGACGTTGATGCGTGCGCTGCACTGACATTGATGTGTGAGTTGTTGTACGTGCGCAGCATCTCAACCCCTCCTCCATTTCCTTCCCTTACTCTCCCCATCACTCTTCTCACCCACTCTCCTTCCTCACACTCAACCCATCTCCCCCCCACTCTTCTCCTTCCTTCCGTCCACCTCTGCTCCACGGCCTATCTCCGCGAACCCAGGATTCTGGTGGGGAAGCTCTTTCTGGTGGACCTTGCAGGCTCAGAGCGACTCAAGAAGTCAGGTGCGTGCGTACCGGGTTACTTAGTCTCGTACACATGTCTTTTATGCGACAATACTCTTCTACCTGATGTGAATCTTTCATTTTCTGCTCGCAAATCTGTAAGCATCTATGCCCCGCGTATTGCTTGCTGCTTGTTGCTCGCCTGGTGTGTTCAGGGTCGGAGGGTCTCAGAGCCAGCGAAGCCAAGAGTGTCAACCTGTCCCTGACCGTACTAGGTAGGTGCCACACTGCGTTCCCCTCCTTTCCCTGCTCTCTCCTGCCCTCCCTCTGCCTCCCTCTGCCCTCCTCTGTCCAGCTTTGAGACGTTCCATAACCCCTTTCCGCTTGGCAAACCAAGTCTCCCTGCTTTTCCTTGTGCCCCTGCCTTGCCGCTCACAGCCATCCTTTCTGGACACATCTCACAACCATCCGATGGCTGTCTCCTTGTTCACAACCATCCTTGTCTCTTCATCCGTTGCAGGGAAGTGCATCAACGCCCGAGCAGACCCCCACGCGCACCATGTGCCATTCAGGGACTCGAAGCTCACGCGCCTGCTGCAGGAGTCGCTGGGAGGTAAGAATCGGTACCATCCCTCTGGAAACGACCAAGTGAATATCTTTCTGTAGCAGCACTGCCCGGGCAAGCCCCCATGCGCACCATGTGCTGTTCAGGGACTCGACGCTCAACGCCTGCCGCAGGAGTTCACT